TTTTAAGTGACAATAATGAATATACTTACTACTAGACTTAAATATATACATATATAATCATTTTCTGTGACATAAAAAGTAAAAGCTTATCAACTTTAAGTGTACTGGAGGTCTATTAACTTAATTTTAAGATCAGTAAGTTATTCAAAAACTTTGGAAGTCAATCTAAGCTTATATATTGAAGTAAGTTTGTTTAAATTGTTTATTTTTTTTATTCAAACCTTTTTTATTTACCTTATTTTCTTGGTAAGCAGCTTAGTCTTTTTTCTTTTTAATAATTAAAATTACTCTAAGTAAAATATACTTTATGTAATATCTGGCTTAAATTACTTAGAAAAGTTTTGCTTTTAAGGTTGACATAAAAACTTTCGTTAGGCTAGGATTTGAATTTCAGACTCATTAATCTTAGTTGTTTGATCTGTATAAGTGCTTATTTATCATTAAACTAGAATAATACCATCTAGAGGTGAGAAATTATTATTTTTTTCTTTTACATGTATAAAATCCTGTGAAGAAATAATAATTTAAAAGCCTTGTTGTACCAAATAAACAATTTATCTTTTTAGTGCTCTTTTTTAAATGGACTACTTTATGTTATTGAAAGTTTAATTTATGGCTTTCTGAGACAAGATGAAACTTATACATAACACTTAAACAAACAGACCAAAAAAAAAAAAAAAGACTACACCACGTATAATGTTAAAAAGCTAAAAAGAACTTTAGACAATGCTATGAACTACAAAAGAAACTGTTTGAACCATTTGAGGGTTACCATTTTCTCTGATATCTTTTTATGAAAAATCCTAGAAACAAATACTAGTTTTCTAATTTTTCTTAATTTATATAAGCATTCCAAATACATTATTTAAAGGTTTTGATTCAAAAAGAGTTACAATTTTTTTTTCTTCTGCACAGCTTAAAATCAGCAAAACAAGACAGGAAACTTTAAAAAATAGAAATAGAAAAAAAAACACAAAAAAGTTTATATTCAACATCACATAAGAGAAACATATGGGGAACTCAGTTCCTTTAAAGTGATGACAGAGATTTTGAATTCCTTCAAATATATTTCGTTTATTGTGTTTGACTATGAACCCCAAGCCGGTGACCTGGTAAGGAGAGAAATCCAGGCTTATTTATGAAAAGCATGCGAAAAGATCTTTGTGCACTTAGAAAACTGAAAGTAACTTTCCAGTTGTTTTCATCTAGAGAAGCGGAAGAAAAACTTCTGAGCAATTCAAAAACGAAAATGATCAGTGGCCATAAATTAGCTCTATTCACATAGACTTTAGTTCTAAAGACTCAGCTTCTGAAACTTCGAGTGCTAGTTTTGAAAATCTCAAATTCTAGCCTTGAAGGTTTGGCTGCTGAAAATTCAGCTGCTGGAAGCTCATCAGGTTGTATACATAGGGAACTGAAAGCAAAGGGGACAGAGAGAGGAGTGACAGACACTTGAGATTTTAATCTTCTAGGGAGGCAGTTTTACTGTCCTGTTGTTTCAGATGCCTCCTGGTACCAATCAGAAAGATGATTTTTATTTTCTAGCTTACTGCACAAGGGGAAAAAAATAGTTTAGACATGTCAAAAGTTTTCTGTATGGGTTATTTATCTTGTTCTCCATATGGGGCATTTGTCTTTTACTCTATTTTTCTTTCTTAAAGATAGAATAGGGATGCATTTGAATTTTACCTGTTTCAGAGTGTTTAAAGACCAGAAGGCACACTAAAAGAGTGTAGAAGGGCAATGTCCAACTCTGGGTTGCCCTTTGAGTAGCAGGACCATACTGTTTGCTTATGGATAGTGCAGAAGTCCCTGAAGGGCATTCTCTACTCTTGGATTTGTTTTTCCCCATCTTCCTTGTTAACTAAGAGTGCACACTAAAGTCAGAATCAAAATGTATCCAAACTTGGACTTGAAGGCAGAAACACTTAACCCAAACTTACAAGTGAATAATTTTTAAAAAAATTTTTTATCATACTTTAGATGAAGGTTTACGGAACAAATAGTCTCTCATTAAATAGTTAGTGCACATATTGTTTTATGACATTGGTTAACAACCCCACGACATGTCAACACTCTCCCTTCTTGACCTTGGGTTCCCTATTACAAGTTTTCCTTTCCCCTCCTGCCTTCTAGTCCTTGTTCCTAGGCTGTTGTGCCCCATTAGTCTTGTTTTGTTTTATGGGCCTGTCTAATCTTTGGCTGAAGGGTGCACCTCGGGAGTGACTTCATTACTGAGCTAAAAGGGTGTCTGGGGGCCATACTCTCAGGGTTTCTCCAGACTCTGTCAGGCCAGTAAGTTTGGTCTTTTTTTTGTGAGTTAGAATTTTGTTCTACATTTTTCTCCGGCTCTGTCCAGGACCCTCTGTCATGATCCCTGTCAGAGCAGTCAGTGGTGGTAGCCAGACATCATCTAGTTGTACTGGGCTCAGTCTGGTGGAGGCCATGGTAGTTGTGATCCATTAGTCCTTTGGACTAATCTTTCCCTTGTATCTTATTTTATTCATTCTCCCTTGCTCCCAAAGGGGTGAGACCGGTGGAGTATCTCAGATGGCTGCTCACAGGCTTTTAAGACCCCAGGCACTACTCACCAAGGTAGAATGTAGAACATTTTCTTTATAAACTATGTTATGCCAGTTGAGCTAGATGTTCCCCAAAACCATGGTCCCCACAGCCCTCAGCCTAGCAGTTCGGTCCCTCATGGAGTTTGGATGTGTCTATGGAGCTTCCTTGACCTTGCCTTGTACAAGTTGTGCTGGCTTCCCCAGTATTGTGTACTGTCTTACCCTTCACCAAAGTTACCACTTATCTATTGTCTATTTGGTGTTCCCCCCCACCCCTCCCCTCCCTCACAACCATCAAAGATTGTTCCTTTTTTTGAACACACAATTTTTGCCAAAGTTCCCAGACCAGCAAGCAGAAACACTTAACCCAAACTTAGAGGTGGACAAATTGTTTTAACCAAAGTGCCTGGACTTGCAGATGGAAACACTCAACCCAAACCTGCAGGTAGACAATCAGTTTCCTCTAATGGTGTCCCAGTAGAGGGCAGAGAACTACTCTTGACTGTTGTTTGGGATCAAAGGTACCGAAACTTGCAAGCAGAGAACTTAGACCCAGACTTTTAAGCAGACTAAGACTCAAGGAGTAGACTTACCTCTGTCAGACCCAGAACAGGGAGAAAAGGGAAAACAAATTCAGGCTGAATTAAGAATGAAAGTGAGCAAATAATAACGAAAATCAGCTAATAAAAATAAAAGTGTACCAGTAATAAAACTCAGAGGCCTCAGACACGAGGATGCGGAGGTTCTATCCAAGAGGTACTCACCCAGATAGTCCCCAAAGGTCTGTGGAAAAAGGAAAGTTTGATTGACTCAGCTGGATCCAAAGCCCGCTTTTTCATTTTTGGGGGGGTTGTCAGAGGGAGTCGCCTATAGATCCCACTTCTGACACCAAATGTTTTAGTGTAAACACCATACTTCTGTTTAGGTTTTAAAACAAAGAGTTTTATTATGGCAAAGGAAGTGTTTTGCAAAGCGGGGAGATGCAGCACTGGGAGAAATCCAACAATGTGTTCCGGGGTAGGGGGGGGCTACAGTAATACAAAGACTTATGAATTAAAAAAGCTGCAAACAACAAAATACAGCTAAAACAATTTTGTTTGGTTAATATGTACAAAGCTGTAGGTGGCAATGACTCGGATGACCATTCTGGCAGGTGTTGACATCTTTTGCAAGGATGGCTCTAGATGATACAGAACAGCCCTAACTTTGTAATAGTACTTTATTCTAAGTTTTAGTGGGGGTTAGGTCTCCCTCAGGTTTAGGCTGAACAAGCTTAAAAAAAAAATACAAGGCTTCATAAGGACCTCGGCACAGGCCAGAAAAACATTTTTCGAGGGAGGGTGAAGTGGGCTTTTTCTGAGAACTGGCATTATCTTTTTTTTAACATTAGTCATTTCTAACAGCAAGCACTTCCTCTAGCAGAGTAGAGAGGTAAAAACACTTAAAACAACAAGTTGCATTGTATGACAGAGAAGAACTCCAAGATGGAGTCACTTAGGACAAGAAAGGATTGGACTTAGACCTTAGCTAGAAGTCCCAGTCACACCAAGGGTTTTAGCTTTGGATTGCTCTTCATTAGACTTCATAACTTTTTAATTTTGAAAAATGAATGTATGACTTATTTTTTTTTAAGGGAGGGCAAAGAATATATAAATAAATAATTAGGTTGATTTTATTTATTTTAGTTAACACACCATTGTTTGTTTTCCCACCACTTCTTCCCAAGAATTAACTTTTTAGCGTTAGTAGAGGCCTAGCCCTGGTCTACTCTTGTGGCCTTTCACTCTTGCTGGAGCAGTGCTTTCTAGTTAACAAAAACCTCATGTTCAAGTATAAGTCTGACAATTGCTTCAGGTTAATGTTATCAAGTCAGTTCATCCTATATTAAACACACAACCAAAATCAAAAGCATCTTAGTTGAATGTTTTTCCTGTAAATCAATGGTTCTCAACTGAGGGCAATTCCCCTCACTCGGGGGATATTTGGCAATGTCTGGAGACATTTTTGTCATCAAAAGTGGGGGATGCTACTGATATATAAAGTGTAGAGGCCAAGGATGCTGCTAAATATCTTACAGGCCCAGCACTACCACCACCACCACCCCACCAACAACAACAAAGAATTATCCAACCCAAATGTCAATAGTGCTGATATTGAGAAACTCAGCTGTACAGGAATGCAAACAGAAGGCTGTTTGTTTTCCTGTCAAAAGAAACACTCCCAAAACCTGTATGTATCAAAACATGCTAAAACATCTCTAATGAACTATAAAGGAATAAAAAATCACTTTATAAGCTACAATAAACTATTGTATATTGGTTACATTAGGGTCCTTTCCAAGGGAATAATTGAATGGATCCCTATGAAGAGGAAAAACAGAAAATGACATCTTACTGCCACAAATTGATGTTAAATGCAGTCATTGTCCTTTCCCAGCCCCTGACCCTTTCCCAGATTCATTTCCTGAATGCTGTTGGAGATCTGTTGGATCTGATTCCCTCATTCTCTCTCATAAAAAGCAATAGCCTGAAGTTTATACAGAGATTGGAAATGGGACATTGCTCTGCTCTCATTAAGGTAAGTTACACACAGCAGCCCCTCTTTTTCCCTCTTTCTGGTCCACACAGACTCTGTACGTTACCCAGATTGTAACAACATCTCTTTACCTGTACCTATAGCTGTATGCCAGCTCCTGGGTTCCTATATCATAGAAGTTAAAAACTGGAAGGAACTTCCAGGGAGGGAACTGGAAGTACACGAGGTCACCTCTGTTTCTTCTACCATTTCTTTCATGCTTTCTGCACATTTCCACCTTCCAGAATCTTCCATCGTGGATTTTAAAAGGATGGAATCTATCTGTTTTGTGTACATTAACGGTTAATGTTGGACTCCTTGGCCACATTTTCCAGTAATTAATATAGCGATAGTCACTTGGGTTTTGAGGAAAGAGTTGCAGAAAAATTCCTGAATTGACACAATCCCTGTATGCTTCCTACACTTAAAATTGTAGTCATGTATCTATATGCCTCTGCATCATTCACTGTTATTCTGGCCATAGGTTCTTCCTGGATTTGAGAATATCTTTTTTGCTCACTCAAGTTGGTACACGTATGCAGCCATGCTGAGGATGTATAAACACTGGGACTTCAACATCAAAGATAAAGACACCATCAGCAGTCGTCTCTCTTTTAGCAGTTACCCAGGTAAATAAATTTTAGGGACATCAAAGTACATCTGAGTACTTTGAGTACACTTCAGGATTAAACCTTGGTGACTCAGAGTAACTGAAATGGAAGAAGAAATATTTAGTGGTTATTATACCTTAATGAAAATTCTGGTTTTTAGACTTCCTTTTGAAGAAATATAGCTCTAATACTTTTATTTAATAGAATAATATAACCTGGGTTAATAGAGTTGCCAAGTAGAAGACACTTTGTAAATGTAAATGGATGCTTCTAAATTCACATCACAAATGCCAACTATTTATTAAGTGTAAGGCACTCTCCTAGGCTCTGCAGTGGAAGGAAAGAAGAGGAAGAGACGGTTCCTGCTCTCAGTAGCTCCCTGAGGGACTGCACTCTGTTTCTCTTATTCATTACAATGTCCACAGCACTTAGCCTAGTGTGTGGCACCTAGTACTGAATACAGTCCTGCTGAATGAATGAATGAATGAATGTGTAAGCCTATAAACCTTACAATACAGTCAGGAGGAGAGGACAAGATATGTACAATACAAATAAGAATAATAATGTTACTGGATACTGTGTTTGCTACAAAAGTATATCAAATGTTGTGAGTATTAAAAAGAGGAAGAACCTACATCTGATTATTGGGGAAAGGAAAGAGAAGGTTGTCGTTTGAGATGGGCCATGAATGATGGCTACAAAATCAACAGGTAGAGATGGATGGGGAAGGCAGTCTCTGTAGAGTAGGGATTGAGAACTCTATGTCCAAAGGAGACAGGGAGGTGATGTAAATGAATAAAGGGGGCTGGTATAAGAAATTAGAAAGTGGGAATGATTGTAGCAAACAGGGGACCCATCGAGAAGGGTCCAACTACACAGCTCCCACTGATTGTTGTCATCCAGGAATATGGAGATCAGTGTTTCCAGGTCTTCTAACTTAAGATAGAAATAAGGATTTTTAAAAAAAATAAAACCCACTCTGAAAACCAAATAGAGTATGTCTGCTAGCTGGAATTGGCCCCTTGCTTATGGTTTTGCAAACTTTCCAGGAAATGTTATGAGCAAAGCCAAGGAGAGAAGGTTTACAAAACATTTAAGAGTACAACAAAGAGGTAGCAGAATTCTTCTGACCTTTAATTACAAATCCATAACTTAGGGGGTGGTTATACCAACCACCTGTCCTATCTAACTTTGACAGAGTATCATTGCCCCATCTGAGTGTTAACACCCAGTAATTCCTATCAGGAATTCTGAACAGGGGTATAACACAATATTTTTCTATCCTTGTAATCTGATCCTTCCTTTGGAGCCACTTTGTTTTCCTCTTTGTCTTAATTTGCTTAATTATTTTAGGATCAAGGAAGACTCCTCTGTTTGAGTCCTTTGTTTCTTTTATGTTCAGTTAGATTGAAATTTAAGAACAGTAAGAAGACTGAGACATTCTTACTCTTCCCCTTATTTACTATAAAATGTGACATTCGGATATTGCCTACGCTGCTTTGAAATCTTAGTGGGATATGGTAGACTGAACAGTCCTGGACCCCAGAGCTCATGAAAACCTGGAAGGATTTTCCTAAGAATCTTAGGACCCTGTTAACATTTGCATATATACCCTTCCAGAATAGATAGATACATAGGTACATGGATAAAGATTTTAAGAGCAGTTGAAACTGAGAGAGAACAAAAGGAATTTTTTGCTCCAAGGTATTTTTATGGGAACCAGTGGAGCAAGATGATCCATATCTTTTTCTAACTGGACAACTTTGTTCTCAACCCTAAACAAACAAAATATCGTGTAAAATCACATTTATATTGTGAAGAATTGTTTGATTAAGGGATTAGCCACATTGTATTCATCCAATAGCTGTGGAACTAAGTGTTACTATGAAGTCCATGCCATGTGAGCTTCTGAGCCCAGAACAAAGCTGAAAGGATTGTTTCTTTTTCTTTGATGGATGGGGTGCCATGGTAGGTTGAGTGGGTTAGGAGTGTGGTGCTATTTTTTTTTTTATCAGAGAAGGCAGGGCTTGGAGGCTCTTGCTGACCTAGATAAGGATATTTAAAAATTTCTGACTCAGAACATACAGATCAAGTCACAAAGAAACATTCTCGCCTTGGGTTGGGGCACATGCTGAATGATGATAACTGGGATAGTAAAAATAGCTACCATCATACTAAAGACATAGATAACTCTGAAGGTTTCATACGCATTTAGCCATACTCGTGGCCCTCCCACCAAATTTCATGTAAGTGACTATCAAGATGATTGCCATGAAAAGCACTAAAGCTTCAAGACACAATGACTTTCTTCCCCCTGAGATCCCGCAGAAGGAAAAAGGTATAGCTTAGACATCTGCTGAACTATTCTTCAACATATAAAGTCCAAGAGTTTTACTTTCTTTTTTTAATCTCTAAAAATGATGCTGATACAATGCTTACTTTCATAAAGTTGTAAAAAGTTTGTAATTTATTTATTTATCAACAAATATCTGTTAAGCACCTACTACGTGCTTGACAAAGGAGTTATGATGACAAGTGGCATAGACAGTCCCTACTCTCATCAAATTTGCATTTGCTGAGAAATAGTGACAAATAAAAAGCAGTAACAATAAAGTGTGATTGTGTGATAATAGAGCAGACTAGTCTGGGAGTATCTGGATAGCTTCTAAGAAGAAGTAAAATTTAAATTGAGGCACAAGAGCAAGTATAAATTAGCCAGGCCAACAGAGATAAGGGGGTGGTAGAATGTTCCAACAGGAGTAAACGGTATGTGTGAAGGCCTCTGGGCAAGAGAAAGTATGGAGAAGGCCAGCAAGAGGAAATGAAGGGCAATGCAAGACCGTTGAAATGACAACTGGGAGTAAGATGATTAGATCTGCATTTTAGAATTATCTGACCCCTGAGAGAAAGAGGATGAAAGAGGCTTTGAAGAGAACATTTAGAAGCTGGTGCAATAATCCAAGTGACTTGGACTGTGTACGTGGTCAATCAGTGTATGGATGGAAGATTGATGTTCATCTTCAAGAAGAAAAAAAAGTCAAAAAATGACTGCTGAATTACTGCAGCACATCATGACTTTCTATGTGACCTTGTTGTCCTAGCCAGAACACTTGAGTGGTAATTACGTAATTAGAATGTCAGGAGGGCACTCCGAAAACTGTACTGCAGCGTAGGAGAAGAGAAGAAACAATAGCAATTCTTCAGACTGCATTCATCAGTATTACGAAGGATTGCTGCCTCCAGCACACCCAGATTTACCTGAGCCTGTCTCATCCTCTGCATTTACCAGTGCCCCAGCTGAGTCCATAAAAATAGAGTTAATTATGTCAAGGAAACAGATTAATAACACCCATCCTAATCCGGAAAGGGTTTAAAATGACTTGGTTGTTTAACAGGTTGGGTTTCTTCTCCGTTTGTTGTAGAAATGAGTGTGGAACTTTCTCTCATCCTTGCGGAAACCACTTCACCTGAAGAGGTTAACGTAAAATGTCCTGAGAAAGTGAGAACTGTACCAAAAGTACACCAGGTGCTGAGAATCTCAGTACCACCCTTAGGCCAAGGCAAGTGAGGCTCCAGATTTGAAGTGCTTTCCTCAAAACTTTCTAAGTCCCCCTCCGTGCCCTGAGACCAGCCATGATGGCAGACCAGGGTGCTCTGGCCCTAGACCATGTCTCATGTGTGTCCTGGTTTCAGGGAGATCCTTTCTAGAAATTTTCTAAATCTCTTTCCAGTGTCTAGGACCAGCAGGGCTGGCAGAGATGGATCTGGGCAGGGCTCTCTGACTGCTGGCCCCACGTCTCCCTTTCTGGGAGCTAGTCCCCTCTACCTTCACCCACAAGTGGGGTCAGTAAGATGCCACAAGGCGCTCTCATGCTTATGGGGACTTGTGCCCTACGGGGCGATCATGATGCACAGACCTTTCAGCTGGCCTTCGCAACATACATTTTGCTAGATGCTGCATGATGGGGCTGCCTGAATGCTGGTAACATGATAGTTTTCACTGCCTCTCACATCAGGCAGAGCATGTGTTCTGAGCTCCAGGCAACCGACAGTCTATCATTTACTCTTGGCCTTAGGCACCTATGTGAGCTCCTGCGTCGACTTTCACCTGTCTGTGTTCTGACTACAGAGCTGCCTTCTATCCACAGCTTCCAAAGCGGCAGAGTGGAGACAGGTGAACTTTACCGTGTGTGCCCCTGCTGCTGGTCCCTCTGGCGGACACCTCACACCCCTGCAGGCTCTGCACCATATGTGAGGCAGTCCTCCTGGGAGGGCTGGACCTGTGTTCTCTGAAGGCTCTTGAGAACCTTGTGTCCCAACACAAACAGACTTTTGCAATCGCTCTCTCTTAAGCTGAATGCACATTCCTTGTGCAGTTTGCCCACAGGTGTCTCACCTATTCTGCTCGCTGGTGGTGGTATGTGGATGGATGCACATTCCTTGTACAGTTTGCCCACAGGTGTCTCACCTATTCTGCTCACTGGTGGTGGTATGTGGACAGCAGGAGTGCAATCAGCATGGGAAGAGATCACATTCTAGCAATGCCTGAAGAGTCCAAGAGAAGACACGGTTGGAAAATACATTGATCTATGTTTATACTATAAAATCTAAATGTAACTTTAAGGACCAGAAAAATTATCATTCATATATTTTCTTAACAACATTCTTAACAACATACAAGGGTAAGGCCTGCATTTGTGGTCATCGTCAACAAAGCATAGTAACAATCTTTGAGAGAGTCACTGAAAGCTGGTGTCCATAGATGGCATGATGGATGCTGTAGTCACTAAGTAAATGGTGTTAGGGAACTGCAGTACAAATAGTTTCAAAAAGTCATGGTTTTGTGAGCAGTAAGTGTTGCTAGCTTTTTCTCATGGTGGGAGATATGAAGTTAGCCAGGAACAATGCATTTGATACAAAGAACACAAAAAGATGGTACCTGGGTATTATACTCTTCACATGTACTGATTGGATAATAAACAAATTATCCTCGTTGATAAATTATTATACCTCACATG